GGGGGGGGGGGGGGGGGGGGGGGGGGGGGGCTGGAAAGCTGGCCTGGGGCCCACCCCTGCCTGGTCCAATGGCTGTGATGCAGAAGGGGGAAGGAGGCCCAGGGGATCTCTCACTCCAGGTCTCTAGGCCCTGGAGCCTTATTAGAGCTTCTTGAGCCGCAGAGGGCTCAGAGCCAAGCCCTGGCTTTGGCTAATGATCCTCCCGCGCCCCAGCAGGCCCTCCCCGTGCCCTGTGAGGGCTCTTCTTCCTCCCTCCTCAGCCCCCCTCCCCGTCTCCCCCCTTCATGTCCCCTCCCCCATTCCCATGCAGTCCAGGGCTTTCAGAGCGGGGAGGAGCTGAGCAGCCTGTAGTGGCCACGCCAGTGTTCTCAGCTTTGGACTCCCCATCGCTCTGTGCCCTTGGGCAGCCCCTTGCTCCTCGGTGGGCCTCAGTCTTCCCGCCTGTGTAGTGGGGATGGCACCCCACCCTGCATGCGCCCTATTTTGTGCACAACTTTCTGTCCTGAGAGTAAAGCAGGAGAGAGTGCTGGGGGTCAGTCTGGAGCTTTTACTTAGAAAGGACACAGAGGGGCTCGGAGGGGAGGAAGGAGGCAGGAGGGATTGGCCCAGCCAGTCTCAGGCCGCAGCTGGGTTCCAGACGCTGCGCCAGGCTCCGGAGCCCTGAGTGTGAGTCCTGCCTCCCTCGCCGTGCCCCTGGGCGGCTCTGCCAGCAGTGTCTGTACGTTGTCCCAGAAGACAGCAGCGAGGGTCAGGGCGAGGGAGTAAACAGCGGCCCTGCGCCTGGCACCGCAGTCCTGCCACCTCCCGGGCTTCTTCATGACCGTGATGCCTCTCACTGTGCTTAGCATTTTCATTTTCTTGGTCTTGAATGTCCCACTAGGGAGCATGTCTCTTTCCCAACATCCCTGCTGATGGTATGAGGCGTATAAACAAAAACATCTTTAATGAGTGTGGAGGCTGGGGAATGGCTTCTGGCTGAAGTCTCTGTGCTCAGGCCCGCCCGGGCCCTGGGGTTTGCAGCCTCCTGATGCGTGTCTGGCTCCCCAGCCTGGATGCCTGCGTGTCCGCCCCGATCCTGGGAGCGGTTTTCTTCTAGAAGGAGCTGCACATGGTCCCGATGGTGCTCGGCCCCTCTAGTCTCCTGGTTAGCAGGGCCAGCAGGTCCCCCTGCCTCGGCAGGATAAAGGGTTTGCCCTTTCCTGCCCACCTCCTGATGCCCATGTTGCCACTGTTTGTCCTTGTCTGTGAGGGGACATTCACTGCCAGTTCTCAGGACACGATCTCAGAAGCTGCTGCTGCCGCTGCCCCCCAGGCCGGGCCCTGCACCCCTTCTCTCCAAGGTCCGAATGCACCCTGTGTGCCTGCCTCTCCCACGAGCCTGGGAGCTTCCTGCGGGCAGGACCATGTCCGATTCATCTGGGTCCTCGGTGGCAGCCTGGGGCCCGGCAAAGAGCAGTTCTCCCTGATGAAGAATACGTATATTTTCTAGCTGTGTGACCCTGGACAAGTTACTTGCCCTCTCTGAGGCTTGATTTTTTTTTTCATCTGTAAAGTAGGGATGAATCATTGTAATCTACCCACGGGGTTATTGTGGGAGTGAAACTGACATGACTCATGGCACTCACTCACAGGCTTGCTGCCTGACATTCCAAGACGCTCCATGATAAGAATTGTTATTAGAGTCCCGTGTAACGTCCGTGAATTTGTTCATTCAGATGTAATCTACCCACGGGGTTATTGTGGGAGTGAAACTGGCATGACTCATGGCACTCACAGGCTTGCTGCCTGACATTTCAAGATGCTCCATAATGAGAATTGTTATTAGAGTCCCGTGTAACGCCCGTGAATTTGTTCATTCAGGCAGCACATGTTTACCAAGCACCCTCTCTGGACCAGGCTCTGGGCTAGGTGCTGGGGGACAGCCTTGACCAAAGACTGGTGTGTCCCTGCCTTCAGAGAGCTGACATTCCAGGGACGGTATCAGACCTGTTCATGCCATCACATACGTGTTTAATGATAACGGGAATAAGTACCTCAGAGGAGAAGTACCAGAAGCCATGACACTGATGGACAGGGGTCCTGGCCTAGTCTGAAGGGTCTAGGAGGGCTTCCTGGAGGAGGAGGGTGAACCCTAAAGGACAAGTGAGAGTCAGCTGGAGGAAGAACAGAGAATGATCCTGGAGCAGGGAGCAGGGTCGGGGTGGGGGTCGGGTCGAGAAACCAGCCTGGGAGGTGGTGCAGGGGGCGGAGCACCTTAGGTGTTTTTCTAGGGACGTGGTGATCAGAAAGCTCACTCCGCTGCTGTGTGGGGTGAAGGCAGACGTGGCTGCTGATGCTGTTAGTGTCCTGGGCGGGCGAGGAGATGGGAGACTGGACCAGGGGGTGCTGGGGGAAGGACAGGAGGAGACGGATTTTAGCAGAATGGAGGAGCTAGGATTGGCCTGATTGGGTGGACAGGGGGAGGAGGCCAGCGTGGTTGCCAACTCCTGTCGCAGG